GGGGTTTGTCTCCAACACATTCCTTTCTCCTGTAATGTCTATTTTTAAAAATATTTTTTTATTGATTTTTAGAGAGAGAGGAAGGGAGAGGGAGAGAGAAAGATAGAAACATTGATGTGAGAGCGAAACCTCCATCAGCTGCCTCCTGCACACCCCGTACTGGGGATCGAGCCCACAACCCAGGCTTGTGCCCTGAGTGGGAATTGAACCGGCAACCTTTCGGTACATGAGACGATGCCCACCCAATTGAGCCACACTGGCGGGAGCTATAATGTGTATTTTGATGACTGGGAGCAGCTTCAATTATTGAAGCCAAAAAATAACAGGAATCATTCTCAACTCCAGTCTTTTCTTCAACTCCCACCTCCAACGGCCACACAAATCCTCCTGGATCTCTCAAGGCTGCTCCCTCCTTTCTGTTGCAACTAGGGCTGTATTAGGCCCTTATTGCTTACCTGGAAAACTAAAATAACTTCCTGCCTCCAGTCTCTCTCTCCCTAATCCATCATACATGCTGCAATCTGACTCCTCTTCCTGAAATACACATCTAACATAACATTCTCCATGTAATATGCATACAGCCCCATCGCCTCCCATTCTCCACTCCTCTCTCTACCTTCTATATTCCAGTTCCAACAGATCACTCAACCATTTCCACAGTATATCGTATATTTCCATATTGTTATACATGTGATTTGGAAACTCTCTACCTGACATGCTCCTCCCACTTACCCTCCTGTCCAGGAAATTGTTACCATTCTTCAAGGCTTGGTTCAAGTACTACCTCCTCTATAAAGCATTCTATGACTCATCACATGTTTAATCATCCTCTCCCTTGTAAACTCATAGTATTACGCAACCACTGCAGTCTTTTCCATGTTAAACCACAATTATTCATGCCACATCATTCACCTAGCATGGTGTTAGATTCACCACAGGGCTCAATGAAAGCTTCTGGAATAAAGATATGAACACATGAATAAACAAAGGGTCAACTTGTCTTTCTCATCTTCTATAGCACCTGAACTCAAAGTGTTCCTGGAAAGGAATCTGGAAGCACTCTTCCCAGTGATAGTCTACCAGATTACAAAGCAGTACATACCTAAAGTGCCCCTACTGGAGTGACAAGGTCAACTTCAAGCCAAATTCCTGAGCACCCTCAAGATCAAAAGATGGCTATGGGTCTTCGACATGTGGTCAAATAACAGTAATGAGGCCTGTTCCCTCCCAAGTTCACTCACTGAATACACTTTTACTGAGCACATCCTGTCTACTAGACACTGTGATAGCTAGGCAGAGGGCCACAAGGACTCACTATTACTTATGACCACAGAAAAAGCAGCATATAAGCAAGACAGAATTCCTTCATCCAGCACAGCCTGATCGAGCACCTTCATGTGCCAGGCTTTGTCCTATGTGCTGAGGGTACACCAGTGAAAGGATAGACAAGCAACCCTGTCCTCAGATGGACAAGGAACAAGATAAAGCAGTGAAATATATAAAATAGGAGATAGTGGAAGGGAGAGGAAGTGTTGGGAGGGGTATTACAGGTTTAGATAGAGAGTGATTTCTTCAAGGGAAGCTGGAGAAGGTTTCATAGAGGAAACAATTTTTGAGGTGGGTTCTGAAGGATAAATAGTGGCTTCTGAAAGGGCATTCAGGTACAGTGAGAACAGCACATGCAAGGGTACAGACGTATGAAAGGGCTTTGCATGATGGGAAAAGGGAAGAGGTTTTGTGTAGTTTGAGAAGAGTATGGGAGATGTGGTATGAGTCAAGGAAAGAGAAGTCAGGAGGATTTTTATGCCATATAAAGGAGAATGGATTTTATTCTATGGGCAATAGGGTACCAACAAGAATTTTGGAACCGAGAAGTAAGCTGGTCAGCCTAGGTCTGAGGAGGATACTCTGGAGGTAGCGTGCAGGCCAGAGTGGTGGGGGAAGACCATGAAGGAGGGCGAGGTGGAAGGCCACCATGACAATCTAAGGAAATGACCACTGTGCTTAGACAGCTGACTCCAAGTCAGACTGCACTTCCACTGCAGTGTTTACATACCTGAAACAAACAGGTGTCCACTTCAAAACACCAGTGAGATGACAGCTCGTTGTCAAACACACACAAAAAATTCACGTTTTGCAGCAGAATCCACAATTAATGCTCTTATTTAGAACTTTAAGAAACACTATGACGACTATGTTTTTAGGCTTCTACATAACCACTTAAATGCCTTTCTTTATATGATGTCTTCTGCCATTAGCTGCTTGCTTTTATACTTGGACTAAATGTTGTAGCCAAAATGCTTATGTAACACTTAGTGGAAGAAGAAAAAGTTAGAAGGCAGTGTCAAATGGGCATTTTATTCAGCCATTCAGCGCTAATCTCCATCTTCTAGAGTGCCATATGAAAACAAAATAAAGCTTGCTAAGTACTCTATCAATTATAAAAGGAATATATGCTGCCTCCAATTCCATCCACTCTCCAAATACTCCAAGTACTAGAACTTTTGGTGTATTTCCTTCTGGCCTCTTTTCTACAGGTAGTTTTTGTTTGTTTTACATCACTGAGATCACACAATATACACAATCTTGTCACAGCACCACAGTTTAAATAATTTTCCCAGTTCATCATCAATGACAGGATAAAATGGAATCAGGCATATGAGTGGCTGGTCAACAAAAGTCTCAGAGGTGAAGGCACCATAACACTTGCATTAATTCTAAATTTTTTATGATTCTCCCCTATATTAGCATAAGATATCTTAATCTGTCCCAATTTGACCCTTGAGAGCTGTATAGAATGAGTCTAACCCCTTTTCCACAGAAGGCACTTCATAAATTCCAAGGTAGCTCTGTGATGTCTCCCTTTGTCTTCCTTTCTTCACATGAAAGATCAACATTTATTTCCATCATTGCTCATATTACAGCCCCTTCACTAGCCTGGTTCCCTTTGTATGAACTGTCTCTAGTTTGTCATTGTCCCTCTTAAAGTATGGCATCTGGATTTGAATGTGCAGCTTCAGACAAGACTACCACCTCATTTTGTCTAGCCGTTATTATACTTTTCTTAATTCAGTCTACAGTTCTATTAACTTTTTAATCAGTCATGTCCAATTACTGGATCAAATAAGTGTGGGCTCCTGTTAAGACAAACCTCCTCCATCCTTTTTGATACAACTGTAAATGTTATTTATGCTAAATTATTTATGCATATTATTTGTTTCACTCCAAAATCCTGGCTGATTCAGATAGTTTCCAACCCCAACTCTGTCACCTACCACATTGGTTAGTTTTGCGTTTTTCACACATTGGACATGCATGCTTTCTATGTGTTCATTTGTACTGCATTAGAAACACTGGAAACAAAGGACCCACACTACAAGACATGAGTGACCACCCTTGCTGTTTGGCCTCAAGCTTTTAATACACAGACAATAACTCCACCTAAGTGTACCACCACCATTTGGCTCATGTTTCTTTGTTGGAGTCTGTCATATGCCTTGATTCAATTAAGACAGCACAAAAAACACTCCCAATGGTTTCTTTTTTTTCTAGGTACTTAAAAGTCATCTACTTAAATGAGTAATTCTAGAATTGCTGCCAATTGTTGCCAAGGATTGACATCCAGCTCACTGCTCTGTTAATTTCCAGATTCTTCTTTTTCTTTTTTAATATATCTTTACTGATTTCAGAGAGAGGAAGGGAGAGGGAGAGAGAGACAGAAACATCAATGATGAGAGTCATTGATCGGCTGCCTCCTGCACGCCCCCTACTGGAGATCAAGCCCGCAACCTGGGCATGGGCCCTGACTAGGAATTGAACCTCGATCTCCTAGATCCTAGGTCAACCGCTGAGCCACGCCAGTCGGGTGAGATTCTTCTTTTGCATTTTGGAAAATGAGGAACATTTATTCAGCTCCAGTCTTACTTAGGAGCCTGAACAGATCTACATAAATAAAATATCCAATCTCAGAACCCTACAGGTCTATGAACACCATAAAAGTGGACTACCACAACTAAGGCAATATGAGTAATAAACAGCATTTTTCAGACTTTGGACACAACACTGAACATAAAAAAAAAAAATCAAAAGATGCAAACTAATCTAGATTAGAACTGTTTTAAATAAGAAACTGCAAGGTAAAAGCAATAAAACAAAAGCGAGGTTCCCCCAATAGTCTCAATGTCTCCTGTGTACAAGTTGCTGATGGGCTTTCTTCCATGTACCCTGGACCTATTTACTCCCTCTTGGTCCATCTCACCAAAATAAGTCTGTCCCTTCAGGCCAGCCTGGGCAATGGTGAGCCACCACATCTACTATAGGTCCTTTTGTGACAGCCACAGTGGCTATTCACTCCTTCTTTCCCTTCCGGAGCATATCATCTCCATTTCACTGTTCCACCAGTAGAACGTAACTTGAAATGTTGCGGCAAACATTTCATGGCTGTGGAATGAAAAGGTAGAGTGGCACTAAGCCACACCATAGTTAGCCTAGTTCTAAACTGCTACCTGGTACTTTATAATCAAACATTTGGAAAGTTCTAGAGCAGTGGGCCTGAACAAAGGATTCACATCAGCATCTTCCACTGTGATGTTTTAAAAATTACAATTGTGCCAGGACCACAGGCCTGGATGTTCTGATGCAATAAATCTAGAGCATCTGTAGGGTTTTTAAAGCTCCACAGGTGGAATTACTCTGTGCTTCTGCTAAAGAGCCACTATTCTATACCTAACAAACTTCTCCAAACTAGCAAATGGCTATAGTTACCAAGCACTCCCCACTATTATGAGAGACAAAACTTATTTTTTTTGCGTCACTCTATTACTACATATACAAGTGTTAGTGTTAAATAAGCTTTACATAAGCCAAAAATTAAGAGTTGAGAAGCAAATGTATCCCCCATGTTAATCTGAGCCACAGTCAATCTTGCAACGTAGAAGAGAAACAGTTTAGCATTATCTTTAACAGTTAGGGTCATCTTTATGGTCTTAGATTCTACTTACCGTTTCCAAACTTCTTAAATAAAGACGATAATTTGTGATGTAAACTCTTCCCTTAATGGGGCCATTGAAAGGACATATGTAAATAACTTCTTTGTCTATTAAGATAAAAAAAGTACCCTAAAATAATGGAAATATATACCAAGATACACAACAAATGGCACTAATTTAATACAAACTATTTGGCTAAGAATAACTACAATAAAAAAAATCACTGAAAAGTTTAAAAGCAAGCATTGGCAATGTTTCTACATTACCATGCTAAGTCCAGTGGAGTCATGAGGGAACTAGTGGGGCCACATGTCACCTCCAGGCACTAGAAGTGCTTCCCTGAGCTTGCCCCCCACACTGTCACTACCTGGGGCAAGGTGATAATAGCTGCAGAACAGAAGTGAATGAGGGTACTGCTGCTACTACCCTCAGGAGGTTATAAAGGTAACTGCTGAGCTACTTCAACCAGGTGATTGCAATTCCTGTAGGACAGTCTCATGGACTAACCACCAGATAGGCTTTGAGGTTTGCCAGCCTCTAATCACACAAACATTGTAATGTTTTTAATAAATGAATGTCAGCAGTAGAGATGTTTCTATAGTCTACTCTTTCTCTTTTAATAGTCTAGATGAGAGTTTAGTTAGATTGATCTCAAACATTTAAATAGGGGGTGGGGAACCTTTTTTCTGCCAAGGGCCATTTGGATATTTATAACGTCATCTGAGGGCCATACAAAATTATCAACTTAAAAATTAGCTATGAAAAAAGCTCCTAGATTTATTGAATTTCAAGTCCCACCTGCGGTTGCCTTGGCAGAGCCAGACCAAATGATTTTGCTGACCATACAGGGCCCGTGGACCAGATGTTCCCAACCCTGATTTAAATAATATAAAACAGATGGCCAAGAGAATAGTACATCTTTGGTAGAATCAAACATAAAGAGAAAATTAGGAGAGTTAATTTATTATAAAAATGTATCTTTCCCTTATCTTTCTTGGATGTCCTTGAACGTGTTAATGGCTTTTAATTTTTAAAAACAAGTTTGAAATCCCTTTATCCTCAGATGCTAAATGATACCCAGTAAGGCTACCACATGCTAATTCAGTTACTATGCACCAGTTAAGGTCCTGGCACTGATACAGAGCACCAAAACTTCATATATGAAGATCACCAAAAGTAAGCTATCCTCTTTGCTCTTATCCAGAAATTGGAATGGTTTCCTTTTCAAGACTAGGATCATGCTTGCAAGTGTGTGGACATGAAATAGTTTCTCCTGGTGCATAGTTAAGTAATTCACAAAGGCACCATATCTATGATCTTAATCTAATAAACACCATATCTTATCCATTTAAGCTAAACAGCCAAGATCTTAGTCAATAAAACAAAAGGTTCCCTGAAACAATGGTAACTGTATCATCATCAAATATATGGGAATCTGAGAGGATGCCAACCCTAATTAAAATGTGAAAGCCCACGATATCAGCCCTTTGCTTAGAAGCTGTCAGATGCATCTGTATTCTTAAACCAGAACAATATGTTCTTCCAAAGTAGATACCTTCCTCTTACTATGAATTTATCATGAAAAAATAAGTTGACAATCAAATTGTTACATCAATATTACTAACTTCAGTTATCTAGCAAATGAAAGATATTTTAAACCATTATGGTCTCCTATATTTCAAAGAAGAGAATACTGAGACTTTTAAGCCTTTAACTTGATCATTTTAAAGCATACATCATAGACTAGTAAACCTTAATATCATCTGATCTTACAAACTAATACCATGAGAGCTTTCACTCCAATAAGTAACTTTTAAGAGATAATCCAATTTTTTTCCAAAATAATTCTGTCTTTGGTACAGAGAAAAATATATCATTATCCTGGAGAGCACAAAGTTCTTGAAGAACTCTTTGATCAAGAAACTAATGCACAGAGTTCTCTCTATATTAACACTTTAGCTAGCCTATTTGTCCAAATTTGACTTCTAAAAAGTATGAGGAATTGAAGCCACCTGATCCTGCTGGATCTCTCATCAATCTATGCAAATCCTAACTTTATAGGACCCTTACCAGTAATGCGAGTTTCTCCTGGAAGTCGAGGAACAGTGTCACTGAGATCCCGACTGACTCCATCCCTAGAAGTCTGGAAATGAAATAGTGGCATCAGAAGTAATGACATGACATTTTCACAGGTTTTTAAGCAACCTGGAACACAACTGACCAGAAATGTATTTTTTAAAGGGAAAAAAAAATCAGAGAAACATTTATCATTATAGAACATTGGCACAGAAAATTCAAACTAAAAAATACAATTTACCCTCAAAATTCATTAGCTGTGATAACTTTTATTCTGCAAATAATATTAGCAAGCTTTGTAATAATGTTATTTTTAAACACCCCTTCCAAGTACTTCCCTGTTAACATCATTCAGAAAAATGATAAAAAGTAAATATTACATGTATTCTAAGATACATGTATACTATGGCAGCTTTTTTTTCTATATTATATATTTAGTCATTTATCTTTTTTGTTATGGGTAGGAATAAAAACTTCTTTCAATGGGGCCTTAATTGAGCCATAGTAATCACAGAATCTTCATATAGTGCCAGATAATAACCTTGATTACATATTGGATTTCTTATTTTCCTAAGATATTTCCTCACATAGGTAACTTGATAAGAGGAAAGGGGTCTGTCATTGAACTCTGGAGCTGACAAGGGCCTTAGGTACCATCTACACAAATTCTTCCCATTGCTGTACTGTCTCTAGGCCTCCTAGCTTCAGAAGTATTCCCAGGCCTGTGCCTTATTCAATGGCCACAGCAGCTCCCTCAGGCAGGCAAGTATTAACCACTGAAACCCACAGGGGAGTTCTAAGTCTAATTTGCCATAACTGGCCATTGTGACCTGGATGCCTGGTAAGATGTCTCTCAATCTGTTCAACTGCCCTAGTGGATTCATAACAATGATGGGCTGCCTGTGTCCACTGTAGGGTGTATGAGGCACATCATTAAAATCTGTTTGGGCAAAAGGGTTTTTTTCAGCACTACTTTTCATTCAGTTTTTTAAATTGTTTTCCAAAGTCACACTGCAATCATTTCATGTGTGAAGTTAGTTAATACTTCCCCCAAGGGATTTTGTGAATGTATTAAAGTGAAACAAAATGCACAAGCACACTTTGGTGAATTATCAAGGGCTATGCAAACGTAAAGTATTACCAAATGAGAGAAATGTGAACTGTGTATGTAGGTAAAATATAAGCTGTCAAAGAGGGATACTTTTTTATTCAGGCACAAAATGAAAATTCCTGGCCAATTTTAAGTATGTTTTAGTGCTTGCAAGCTAAGCATTTTTAACTAGGAGGAAAAGTTGTCCCCCAGCCAGGAATGCCTTCCTCAATAAGGAGCAAAACCACACACCTTATATAAATAATAAGACTGGAAACAAATTACCATCATCCTTTAACACCGCCTCTCACTAACTAAAAACAAGTATAACAAGCAAATTTAAAATTCGGTATGCCTTTTAAATACCACAATTCTGGGTAAAAAGAAAGCAAAATTCAACCACAAAATAAGGAAAACAAAGGTTTGATTAACACAGGATAACATGAAATTAATATAGGATATACTTTATTTTAACGTTACACAAGGACTTATAATTACCTTCTTGGAGTTACTTTTGTGTTTAGAACTGAACCTTGTAACATAACATTACTAAAATACAATAAAAACTTATGTAATCTTGGTGAGGAAAAGGTCCTTGTAAACATGATACCAAAAGCAGAAAATATAAAGAAAAAGCTTGATAGATGTGACTACATAAAAACTTTAAACCTGTGACTTTCAAAATCAAAACAAAATATTATAAATATATTTAAACAAAATACTAAATATATTAAATATAATTAAAAGGCTGACAATAGGTAAAAAAGGTGAAGAGGAATAAGAGGTACAAACTTCAAGTTATAAAATAAGTAAACCACAGAGATATAGTGTACAGCTCAAGGAATATAGTCAATAAAAAAGAAAAAATAATTAGGGCAAAGACTTGTAATATATATTATAAAGAGTTGGTTATAATATATAAAGAATACATAAATCAATAGAAAAAAATCCCCCAAACATCCCAAAGGCATACAGGCAAAGCACATGAACAGTCACTTCACAAAAGAAATACAAATAGACAAAAACCATGCCTTTTTCTTCTTTTTTTGAAAGGCCAACCTCATTAGTAATCAGGGAAATACAAATTAAAAGACACCAGTTTGCTCCCTTCTGATTGCATCCCCCTACACTGCCATTGGGAGTGTAAATTAACCTTTCTGGCAGATAATCAAAAGCCTTAAAGGGCCAAGAATAAAGCTTATTTTAAATTCATCACTTACTTTCAATATATGTTCCAAAATCTCCCTCTAATTACATAAATTTCTCCTCGGTACTTTGAACCATTTTCTGTTAATGTTATTTTTGTTTTGGTCATGCAACTATTTTATCATCATAATTGGAAAATAATGCCAGTATCTAGGAGGGTGTAACAAGCTTCTCAGCAGGCCTTGGTTTTCCAATATCTCTTTCAGAAAACTTTCAGGGGTGAGGGACTGCCTGGTACCTGAAATGTAATATTCACAACACAGAGGTTCTCAAAAATGAAGTTATGTGAAAGGATTTACAAACCAAACTCATGTAACACATATAGTCTGTCTCTTCTAGAACAAGGTGGGATAATAAATTAAACCACATGTATTGAAGTATTTACATTATGTGAATGAATAATGTAATTAATAATTCAATAAACTCAAAATGACCACCTAATATTCAAATATGAAAAAGAGAAATGCAAAGAAAAAGACAGAATAAATCTGAAAACACAACTTACCCTGTTAATAGACTCATTCTCCAAGGAGCGTGAATTATATTTAGAAGTTGGTGCAGAAGCCATACTGGAAACTCTATCAAAAAAAGACGACATTCAATATCAACTGAATTGTATGCAATTTCAGACATATGTAACACCTGATATTTAAATATTGCAATTGAGAACCAACAGTACTACACTTTACAGGCCCTATTTCCATTGTAGTCTCCAATGGGATTGACACACACAAAGGACTAAGCACAGCACAGGGCATAGGACAGGGCTCTGGTAAAGGTGGAGGGCACTAAGGAAGAAAAAGAAAGGGCAGCTAGCTAAGTATGCATGGGGGAGTCCAGCGGAAGATAGCACACATATTCTGGGACTTTTTATTCATAGCAAATTGTCATCTAAAAGAACATAATGTTAATAATTGTGCAAATTTCCACACTTCTTAATTTTTAAAGATTATTTAGAGGCAGCAGAGCAATAAAAAGAGTAGACAATTGAACTCACAGTATTTTCCCCTTTAAGAATTCTATTTTCTCCAAATTAAGGCAATCTGAAGTGGCATGAATTTGATGAAAATCAAATTAGTAAGATTTGATTTAATCAGTATTTTCTAAGGAAAACATACTTCATTTAAATAATGCATATTCATCACAATTCGGACATAAATGAAAGCATCATGTTCAGAACATAAACAGTATCTTAAAGCAAGATTTACTCTTGTGAAGATTATAACAACAACAGGAAACTAAGTAATGTTTTGGTTACTTTATTTATCAAATTTAAAGATAGAAAGACACACTGAAGTCACAGGGAGGTACAAAGCATCCAAGTCAACAAGGTGATTGTCGTTATTTGTGGGATCTTTTCCCCAGGCTCATTAAGTGAGTAACCACTTGCTAACAAAATCCAGTATGGAGAATATCAGCACAAAACCTAGTGATCTGATAGCTTCACAGTGTCAGTCACTGTCTTTAAGTAAGGTCCAAGAGCCCAGCCGGGCATAGCTCAGTGGTTGAGCGTTGACCTAGGATCCAGGCGATCAGGGTTCGATTCCCGGTCAGGGCACATGCCCTGGTTGTGGGCTTGATCAATGACTCTCTCATCATTGATGTTTCTGTCTCTCTCTCTCCTTTCCTCTCTCTGAAATCAATAAAGATATATATTTTTTTTAAAAAAAGTAAGGCCCAAGAGAGATGACAAGATGCAGATAAGGGCAACCACCAGGATGAAGACAGAGAGGTGGCCAGGTGAGGACAATCTTAAAAGATTAGTACTGCCGGTTCCCCACCCCCCGAGTTCAGCTCTCCAAGGGCAAGGCTTCGGGCCTGTCTGGGTCATGGCTGTATCCTGGCACACGGTTGACACTCCTAACTATTTGGCAAATGAATGAATATGTGCAAAATACACAATATTGTGAAACATCATGATGGGGTTAGATGGTATATTGGTTCACCAAAACCCAGAACACTGGAACTAGGGAACTACTGCTGAGGCTTAAAAATTAACAATTACAATACTTCTTTATAAAAAGCAATACTAAACTTCAAAAACCTAAAATGACTAAGACATGGCACAACCTAAAATTAGAAATAAATTTTTAAAAGATTAATGAATGATAACTCTAAACTGAATTAAATTCAGACAAAATAGCCTTGAAAAACCTCTCTAACCTTAAATTCAAATCCCAGCAAAATAACCCTTTATTCTGAGACAGTAGAATGGATGAGACAGATTAGATAGAGCAAGTTTTTGCCCTAAAATTATTTTATTGACTAAACAAGATTATATATTGGGGGATTTTCTTCAGTAACAGATATAAAATTACTTTGTAGTAATCAAATACTATAATATTTAAAACATTTAACAAGTCAGTGTTTATAAACAAAAGTTAAATTACTACTATAAAGTCAATAGGAGAAATTTAAAATGTTAGGTTATACAGTCAACTCAGTTTTCACCTTCCTGTTCCTGTTTATAAACCATAACAGATGAATCTTCCTGTTTTCTTCAATCCTCACTTAAAAATTTCAATTTAAAATGAACTAAATATAATAGAGGAAAGTCCTCACTTTCCCCTTATTTTTAACTACATTATTGAGACACAACTTACATGTTATACAACTCACTTTTTTCAAGTGTACAATTTAATGACTTTTAGTATATCAACGGAGTTGTGCAACCATAACCACAATCAACTTTAGAACATTTTCACCACCCCAAAAGAGAAACCCCATACCATTATTAGTCACTCATCACTCCCCATTCTCCCAGCCCCTAAGCTACAATGAATTTGTTCTCTCTATAGATTTGCCCATTCTGGACATTTTACATACATGAATTCACATAATATGTAGTCTTTATGTTTAACGCCCTCATTTTTAGAGGTACACTACAAACTCCCCAAAACAGAAATCCAAGGGGCCAGGTAACATGGGTCAGTTTCATGATGAGGTTCGCTGTAAAAGCTCATCAGTGAAACTCTTTTTGTTGAATGGTTCCAGTTATTTTTGAAATACACAGAAGCTGAAACAGTATAATGCTGGAAAGCACAGATGTTGGAGCTGACTCCATTCAAATTCTGACTCTGCAATTCACTATTTGACCTTGGGCAGGTTATTTAACTTCTCTGGCCTTAGGTTGCTATTGTTTATTTTACTGCAGCATAGTTGGGAACCAAATGAATGAAGTAATACATATGAAGGTCTTAGAACAGTGCCTGGTATATTTGTTAACAAATTATCATATTTTCAATTATGAAAGGATAATTATTGAATGCTCACACCATAACCTATTCTTCTACAAATTAGTCCTGACCCTATAAATACTAGGAAGAAAGATAACGACTACTGGGATAGTACATGGCTAGTGGTGACCTAGTTATAAAACTTCTCTTAAAAAGTACATGAAAATAGCCCTAGCTGGTTTGGCTCAGCGGTTAGAGGGTCAGCACGCAGACTGAAGGGTCCCAGGTTTGATTCCAGCCAAGGGCATGGAATCTGGGGCACATGTGGGAAGCAACCAATCAATGTCTCTCACATCGATGTTTTTCTCTCTGTCTCTCTCCCTCTTCCCCCCTCTTCCACTCTAAAAAATCAATGGAAAAAATATACTCGGGTGAGAATCAAAAAAAAAAAAAAAAAAAAAACATGAAAATAATGTCTCATTAGGACCAGAGGAAGCAGTGTAGTGATGTGTAAAATGTACTAGATGGATGAGCACAGGCCCTAGGCTGTTTTGAACTTATTAAGCATGGAAAGTTCATCCATACCTTCATCTATAAAATGTCTATGTTGGTCTAAATGCAGTTCATTAATAATTCAAGAAACTATAGTGAAGTTTACAAAAGTCAGCTACCCTTTTGGTTACAGAGTATTTTGCCCAAAGCCCCTAAAGCTCAAGTTTTAATGTTTTTTATTTTAAAAATGTTGAATTGGGGCTACCTTGGCTTTAAAGTGAAAACTGAAACTTAATTCCCTATATATGTGCTAATTAGAAGATTCTAACCAAAAGTAGACTTCTATCATTTTTATCCTAAAGACAACTTTTGTGATGATTTAAGCCCAATCTTCCCTATTACGGATGACCAGGAAAGCCTAGAGGGTGTGTAACAAGGCCCTGGCATGAGTTAGTGGCGGGGCCAGCTCTAGCCTGGGCCTCTTGACCAACACTGTAATGTACTTTCCACCCAGAGAAAAGTAATTCCAAATGGTCTCTATTTTGAAAAAAATAAATAAAACAATCTGTTAAATGTGACTGGTCCCAAGCTCAGCAGAGAAGAAGTTTTAGAGTAAGACTCATAGTTAAGAAAACTCAACTCATCTAGGCAAGAAATCTTTGGGGTTCCCAACCTCCTTCAAATAAAAGTGGCATTATTTAATTAATCAAATTTTTAAGTCACAATGTGGCTGTAATTGTGTCTTTCTTTAAATTCAAGACAAATAGCCTCAATGGTCTCATGGTATCCCCTTGTCTCCCCCAGTTTCCCACCCTCCTCTCTTCCCCCCCTCACTGTGTCTTTGTCTTCTCTCTGCCTCTCTCCATCTCCTCTTCCTACCAGTTACCAACTTTCAGATATCTGTTACTACTATGTACCTCTACCCACCAGAATACAATGACCCACCAGATGGGGATTCTGGTCTGTTTTATTTACTGCTTCATTTACAACACCTCTAACAGTGACTAGCTGGCTCCCAGTAAGTATTTAATAGGTATTTGTTAAATGAATGAATGAACTGGGCAATAAAGATCTGGCCAAAGAACTTAACTGTTGTTTGGCAAATGTTTCATTTAAGCCAGAAATTCATGCTGGCTTAAAAAATGGTAGAACAAATATTTGGCTAATCAAGGCATGATGGCTCTGGGCAGCAGAATGGCAGCATTAACGTATGCCGCCTTGAAGCAACTGCGCTAAAAAAGAACTTGAACACTACCATCCTGCTTCCCAAGAAATAGATATTTCAAAGTAAGCCCCCCAAACCTCTTCCATCATGCCCTTCTTCCAGACTAAGAAACTGTTTCACTCTCTGTTGAATATAAAAAATAAGATTCCACAAAACACCTGCAGCAGACATAACTATAAACATTTTCAAACAAACAAGGCCATTTTTACCCTATTGTAAAAATCTAAAAGCAGTAGAGTCCGAAAATAAGTTTGACCTCCACCTCACAGTGCCTTTGCAAGCAAAATCTAAACTCTAATGGGAGCTCTAGTGCCCATGGTCACCTGATTTGAGATCAGTGGGCCTCAATCAGTGGTTTTTTTGAACTTTCCATGTACCAACATTGAGAAAAGGTATGCAGACCTTTTCCAGAAAATCTCTGGATTTTCCTCAGAGTGCTTTCTTATTGTGTTGGCATTTAAATGAAGCTTAAGGATGGTCTTTCTCTGGAGGGTCCACTGAAAGCTACAGAAACCTACCCAGTCTGAAAACGGACTTCTAAAGCCTATCAGTGAGCAAGAACTTATGCATAAGTAAGTAGCCTCTGAGTCCAGAATTCCAGGTTCTTCTAAGGGATCTCTCTTTACTTGGAAGTCTGTTTTGAAAACAAATGCCAAATACTTAGGGCAGGCCCAATGCTCCTTTT